TTAATCGACGTATTGCCCTCGCGTCTCTATAAATCCAGTCTGAAAAATCGACGTGGAAATATGTGTGGTATTAGATACGTACATTTGATGTGGGTCATTTAGGTTTCGATCTCTTTTTTTTTTTAAATAGAAATGAGAAGAACATTTCTTCTGTTTTAGAATCATTCATTTTTCAAATTATCAGGTTTGGCAAGTATTATTGTGTAATTTTTAAGTATTATTTTTGTTCTATGAAACATTTTTTTTCCTGAACGTAACGATTTTTGGTTGCTATACTAAATCATTTGTATTGCTTGGAATCAATCAATCTTCAAGGCTTAGTTCTCATTACTTATTTAATCTACTCTGTAAGTATAATAATAAATGTCAGTGAATGCATCATTTAGAGACCCAGTCGAGCTCAAGGTTGCCCTCGTATCGTATGGTACATGACCGAATTAATGTTTAAGTCAAACATAATTAAATCGTGTGCCCATATAAATACTATGATTACACTTGAATATAGTGCAGTAATTGACCATTCAACGGGTAAGTGATTCGTCGAAGAAAAAACTAGAGCGCCAAAGTCATTTCTTAACGCATTCGTCAACTTGAAAAGTAAAGAAACCTTGAGAACTTGACACGATAAGAAAATATTTGCCGATCTTAAAGATTTCCGCCTTTGACGAAGCGTGCAAGGAAGCGCGGTAGACAATATTGTTTTAGCTGAGGAAGCATTCTGACACGAAAATGGCGTTCGAGAATGGAGATCGCGGCTCGTCGAGCGTTTCCCAATCCTTTCGTAATTACGTACCGTCGTTCTAATGTTTGCTCACTTCCATAGTTCTAACAGTCTCGGCTATTTCCCCAGTTTTCCTTGATTAATCGTTGCGAATTTATATCTCGCTGCTTCGAGACACTACATGGACAAAGGGCGAGGGAGGGAGGGAGAGAGATTATTCCAAGCCAGCGGTTTAATAATTGTGACGAGGAACGCGGCTTCCTGGCGCTGCCATGGTTAAATGCGAGCGGAGGATTTAGTTTTGCGAAAGGACTATTGGAGAAAGGGTGTAGAAATAATGTTTAGAGTCTTCTGAACAATGGTTGATGTGACATTAGTGGTATACATATTTCGAGGATGAAATATAATAGATAGAATATGTATGTCAATATTAGTATATCTTCACAGTCTACTCGTTACAATTTAGATGTCTGCATTTGTTTCTAGTTTCTATAAAACTAATTTTAATTCTCTGCTCTCCATGACACCCTTGATATGCACGAACAGTTTTCATTTGTTAACAAACACAAATCTAATTTAATGTCTTGAGAGTCTAATTGGTAGTCGTATCGATTAAGAAAATATCATCACAACTTGAATTTTCATGATCAGAGGCTGAAATACATTCGAAAACACGCTTTGCAAACCGAGCAACTCTTAATGAGGCAGGGAACATGGTTCGAGGCAAGAGCATTTCATGTCACGCATTTGGAAGATATTAAAGGGGTCGTTGAATCGTTCGATGCTAATGATGCAGTGGCAATTAAATCGACACAAGAAGTACTCCAATCTCATATTTAAAATTTGCTATTTATCGTGACCCATTTCGAGACTCTAACGGTTAGTGTAAATAAAAAGAAACCGAGTGGAAATGGTTCAAGTGCCGCTAACTGAATCTACGCAATTAGCGACTGGTACCGATGGAAAAAGACGTAAAGAGCTCGTCTGAAAGTTACAGAGCAAAAGTTGCGTCGCGATGCAGCTTGAAGAAGAAATTCTTGTTTTGAAACTGTACCGCAAATCGTTTGCTACGTGAAGTTGTTCGAGGGAAATGAAGTTGAAGCACCCTAGTCGGATAAATTTTAAATGTGCTTTTTGCAACAAATTGAACTCAAATGACAAAAAGCACTCCCTGATGCTTGATAATAAGGAGAATGTACTTACTTTTTACTGCAATTTAAGTTATACAGTTTTTTTGAACAGGAAATAAATGATTTTGCCTTTTAGTAATACATGACTGGAATGGATACGTCAGTTTTTTTATTAAAGCCCCTTTCAAAACACTCTATAATCGTAATAATCTTCTCCTTCATTTTCCTGTATTCTGCTTGACTAAAGAGCAATCTAAACGCAAAATAAATTTAATAAATGAGTATTTTCCAACACGTTTGATAGATTCGAGACACGTACCTTTAATAAAAGGACAATATAATTATTGCAGTGGCCGTTCTTTTGCAGGCGTACTTTTTTCACGAAAATTTCATCACATTTATTCCATGCCCTGTAAGGAACCGAGTCAGGTTATATCGTAAAACCCAAAAATACTGGCTGTAGCTTCCATACGAGCGCTGCCGTCGTTGCAGTTTGCATAATTAACCAATAAAAAAGAACCTATGGCGCTATAAAATAAATAGAACGATTCAAGCGTAACCTCGAAAACGCGGCATAACAAACGCGAAGCCATAACAGTAATGAATTCTTTAATCCCCGATGTTTCCGGCGGTAAAACATATAATATTTGATAAAGACAAGCGTAAATACACTCGACCGATGTTTTTCGTTGACACAATAACTCCATATTTCGATTGAAATTTAAATTCATAATACATCACCGCGAAACGTCGACAATAATTTTTAGAAAAATTAAACGGAATTTCATCTCATTACTAGACTGTTGATATTTAAACAAATCAATATTTTCACGAGAAAAGAAAAAGAATTGGAACTTAAATGAAAGTGTGTCAATATTGGTATACCTTATTGTTCATATTTTTCGAAAGTTTTACACGGTCTACTGATTACAATTTCGTACGTGCGAATCGAAGGTTGAATAAATTTAATTTCATGATTGTTGCTTTTTAACGCGTTTTGATATCATATAATATTTATGAAAAAAATACAGGGAAGTTGGAGTTCCATTTGTCGTCGACAACTCATTCCACGGACTTACGTTGGGCACTTCTTCACTTTTTCTAAATGGCTTCTTTAATATTTTGCATATTAGTAGCTTATGCTACCCCCAGCAGAATCCTTGTTAGTTGTTTCAACGAGTTTAGTATGCAAATTGACATAAAGGGTATATGCGCGTGGGATGTAACTCAAGTGCGGGACACGCGGATAATGAGGGGTACGCTTTACCCTCGGGGGTAGTATGTTTTACACCCAAGCCGCTTATGCATCCGTCCGATCCTAAAAATCGTCGGTACAGGCGAAGGCATTACCGCTGAAATTTGTTGAGGGTTTCTCTGACGCTCTCCTGTATACCAATTTCGGAAACTCGACGGGTATAACGTTCCCGCTGAAATTATTCCGTTAGACCTAAAGCTAGCTAAGTACGTTTCGTGATTTTCAAACGAAACGGCCGCCAGGAAAGTAAACCGATTTCCAAATTTGAATTGGACATTCTAATTTCGTGGTAGCTCGGGTTTCACGTGGATATTTCATTTTTTCTTCTTTTGGACATGGTGCCTTGGTAAAATAAAATTTAATAAATAAATAACTACATTTTCTTACGGAATTAACCCTCTAGGGGATAGTGTAACTTTCATATTTTCAAATAGCTTTATTTTGTTCACAAGATTGCGTATAGCTCTTAATTATTGTATAATGTCACTGAATTAATAACAATATTGATGATGGTTGGCAGTATCATCAGGATTGTTTAATTCGCTTTATGGGAGGGTAGCTCCATCAGCTGGCGCCACGGATGGGAAACTCTCGTACTAAAACTGCTGGGAAAGCGTGTGTACCAGATACAAACCTCCTGTACACATTTCACTCCTTAAATATTTATTCCTTAAATATTAATAGTATTCACAAGCTGCTACAGATAACATTTCGGTTAAAGTTCCAGACCTCGTAAATGTCAGAAAACAAACTCAAATATGGGAGGAGAGAATTCTAACTAATAGAGGAATCGATAAAAACCAAAGAACTTAAAAACTCTAATTAAAAATACTTGATATAGACACTTTGGAATAATTATAATAAAATAAAAGTCTAATTCAACTTTCGATAGTCAGAAATTTTGTTGTCTTCGGGTGAGTGAAAGAATAAAGAAATTTCGTGGTGAAAAGTAAATCGCTTAATCTCGTAAAGCAGTATAGCGGACGAATATGCAGAATAGTAGTCGTTCGTTAAATCCAGGTCGTTAAAAGTATCATGAGCCTGAAGTGTAATATCGAGTCACGAGATCGATTGTCGCAGGTACCGTGAACCTCGATGAAATAACCAACGCACCCCTGGCTGTAGATAATCGTCTCATAATTCACATATCTAGCGTGATTATTATTCATACTTCGAGTGAGACCACGGTATGCGGAGGCAAATTGCCAACCAGCCTGGCAAATACCCCGTTCAACTCCCATATGTGGCTACGTAGGAGTTTAGCTTTTCATAGAGCATTATGTAACGCTTCGTGCTACGTGTCCAGTGTGTGACAGCGCAAAAAGGAGGAGTTTACTTTAAAAGTTAACAACGCGTTAGCAAACCAAATTCGCAAACGCGTTTCCTTATTAGTCGTTACTTACGAGTAGTTGAAACGAGATTAGCGTTCCCATGAAGCTCCAATGTGAAGGTTAAATCAGTTACTATTGCAGGATTAGGTCTCATAATAAGCATAATTGAGCTTCATTCGTCCCTTAAATAAAGTTGCATTGTGTAATTTGTGTTAACATCGTGTGAGAAATTTATGAGGTACTCTTTGTAGTGGTATTTTGTACTTTAAGTACTTGGAGGAGTAAATAATAGATACTTGTATGTAAATTAACCCGTTGTTATGATCTTTCTTATAATCTTGTAATGTAGCATTTATTATATTTAGGATTTTTAAACATTAGGATCGTAGGATCCTAGGATTTTAAAATGCTTGATTCAATCGACTAGAATTCGTGTAAAAATCCTGAAGCTCTTTATAAAAAAAACCCTTTAGATTTAAGAATGTTAGTTATTGCAGTCATTTTAACAGTGGATTCGACGAAAAATTTTAAATCCTGTTGCCATTCGAAAATTCGAGCCCACGTGAACTTTCAGCGGTAGTAACGCCACCGACCAAATTGCATATTTTCCCACGTATTTCACGTTATTAATTAAATTTCACCCTTGATCGTTCAATTATGTAACGGAATGCGTTCGTGGTTGGTCGATCATTTTCCCCGTACACCCCATAAGTTTTTGCCGCGGTCTGATGGCTGGAAAAAGAACAAGAGGGACTCACCAGCGATTACGCAACTCCTGTAAACGGTTATCGCATCACTCGACCGGAAGTTCACTCCTGCTGGCCGGAAAAAATAGCCGGATACTCGCGTCCCTGTAATTATGCTTCGTAAAATTCAGCTTTTCTCGCGTGCTCGGCACGGCCAGATTGGATCGTTCGAAGGATGAGACCAGACGTGAAATTTAAATCCTTTTTGAGCGGTGGTGAGTGCTTTACAGGTTAAGGGTAATTTCCTCCTAGGTAACTGCACTTTGAAACGTTGCGTTAACTTATCGATCGCGCCGTTTACACGTGCCAAGTGCCAGGATGAATTATTACTCGAACCACTCGACTTGGGAGCTGGGATGTTCACACCTGAGTCTATTCTTCCTTACAAATGTTTATTACTGTTTAAAATTCGTTTTAAAAATCATTAATCATTCATAGAACGCTCGTCACGATCTCCTAATAACACAAATTGAACGTTCGACAACTTCAGAGCAATCAAAAACTATTCCACTGTTACAATTTCGAGAGCTTTTCATAATTTCATTATACCTCTGTCATCGTCCGCACCTTGAAGAATATCGAAGGTGAAAAGCCACGAGTGTCCACAGACGCGTTCATTGCCGCACGTTCACGCTTTATTATTATTTCAATTACATTCGAACGAAAACGCACCCTTTCAATGGGATTGCCGTTTCCTCTTCTCCGACGTAATACGGCGCACCCCTCCCTTGACCACCCTTTCAAACACTCCTACCCTGCACCCTTGAAAACTGTCAGCATATTGCGCATGCATAATTGAACGTGTTCAAACAAATAACAAAGTTTTCGCATGCTGATGAGAACGCTACCGCATCCGGATTTCGGCTGCCACCGACTGCCAGTGACATATTTTCATTCGACACGCGGGGACGGCCTAACTTCGCGCGTTACTTGCGATTACGTTTACGTCTGTGATCGATCTTTTCAACGGCGAACCTGAGACATAAACAATTTTACGATAGGTTACACGATGCATGAAGAATGACATTTCGAGTTTCGTTTGCTATTTACAGGAACTTCGTCCATTTTCTTTTTTAAATTTCAGAACCTCGTACACCATGTTACATATGATAAAAAATAAAACGTATAATTAATACATGCAAAACTATATAAAATAATTTCCAGCGCCAGATGATAAGGCTAACGTTCTTTAATACCATAAACTGTATGCAATAAGGATGTGAAATAAATCATCAAAATAATACTGGCCTAAAATTCAGCGCCAAAAATCGACTCGGTCCAATCGTCGTGGACATATACTGCGTATGCGTAAAACATAGCAAAAACCTCTCCCCTATATACCAAACGCGCCGCGCACGCATATTTTACGTTTGACGTACGTCCAGTAAGATTACGCACGCACACAGCTACGCGTGTCACGCATTTTTTCATCCGTCAACAAACGAACGAACGAACGTGGCGTGGCCGCGCTAATCAAAATCCGATGCAGCAACAACGACCGCCGATTAAACGAGCCCTCCGGTGGAACCCTCGTCGCGTATGCGAAATCACCGACAGGGGTGAATGCTTTTACGGTAAGGCTGGGACCCCGAACAGTGTTCGAAGGCGTGCAGACTGTTTTCGGCTGACAACACGTTCCCAATGGTGTAACGCGCTGCACAAAGGACTGGTTAGGGGGCTGTCTGGGTCGGAACCTTGAAAATTTGAGGATATTAGAGGAATTGAGGGAGGATACTTTAAAATTAGCAATTTTAAACTCTTACAATATTTTTCTTAGTGGATTCTCAAGCTGTAGGAATCTTTTCACGTATAAATTGTTGATTAAAGGCCTTTAAGCATAGTGCAGTTTTCATTAAAGTTTCAGCAAAACCAGAGGCTACCCTTGTCTAGTATTAGTTTTCTCCATTACCATTGCCTCCGACTGTCACTCCAAACGAAAACAACACCCAACAACCTGGAATATTCAGAATTATAAGTTTTGTCCACCTCCCTCGCAGATTGCATATCTCGATCCCTGTTGAGTTGCCACTCGAGAAATCACTATATTTACCTGTTAGACTCAGTGTAAGTCATAGAATGTGTCGTTCATTCTATTACAGGTCATCTTTTTCCCATGGTGTACCTTTTTCTAATATTCCCAGCAAATGACAGTAGATGACAGTACCTCAGCCAGGAATAAACCTACAGTTCTCCAACCAGTCTTCCGACTATCACCTGTCCATATAAGCTGATCCAGGCCCGTGCTCTTTACAACTTACATCAATCCATCCTGCAATCCAAAGTCGATAGTTCGTTCCAAGCTTAACTGAACGCATAGGACGTAGCTAGATCCCATAATGGTCAGGTGCGCGACATTATCGGTTAAAATATTAAACTTAGGGACAATTAATCCATTGGAAGATCGCGTGCTGGTCTGTCAAGGGGCTGCGGAGGACCGAGTCGGTCAATTGGAAATGAGGTGACCGAGTTTCTAGATTCCTGGTTCCGCTTCTGCCAGGATCGCGTCATCAACCCTGGCATATCAAATTCTTCGGCGGACTCGGTGGAATGCCGAGAACCGAGACGACCTTCTGCACGCCTTTTCTCGTTCTCCGTTCTCCCTCCTCCATTTCCACTCTTAGAATCGCGAGGAAATACTTTGACAATTCTCGGGGACTTCTCTGGACGACATAGTTCACGCAACGGGACGTTAACGATGCTCTAATTCTGGTAGATTGCAACTTTATCGAAACATTCATTGTTTAACCGTTGGATGTTCGGTGGAAGAGAAATTTTAATCGACTGGCAATACAAGAGATTTAGGATTTGTTAAAATTTTTCTGTTATTTTTCTGTTATATAGAATTTTTTTTGTTTTTTTAATTTTAGATGAAGGTATAATGATTACAATTGAATGTAAAATCACAGTTTTATTGATAGGATTTATTGACACGATTTTAATCGACTGGTAACGAAGGGAATTTAGAATCTTTTAGAATTTTTTAATTTTAACCGAAGGTACACATGATCACAATTTAACCTCCAACAACGATTTTACTGATAGGTGTATTTATTTTATTATGAAACAGGATCCTAGAGTTTCCTGTGGTAAAATTGAATCCGATCGGGTATTCAATTCCGAACTCAAGTTACAAGTTGAAAGCATTTAATAAAACGTGTGGGTGGGCTAATAATTTGCGACTCGACTGTTCCCATCCGTGACACGTTGAATGGGCGTAGCGAATACAGACCGTGAATGTATTTACACCTGAATACAAGCCATTCTGTAATTGAACGGGTACACGTGCACGGGACGTACGTTCAAGTGCAGACACGTGGCATGTCGAGACCTTAATAGCGCAGTCTAACGGCTAAAAGGGATTTGCGGCATAAAAGCTTTAAGGTTGGCGTTAGTCGGACTGTTAGCAGTTGCATTTCCAGTTATCCTACACATCCAATTCACCCTTTGATAGCGCTGACCTCGATTTGTCTTTGCACGAGCACGCAAATCGATAACCCCTTTCTGTGCTATTAAATCTGTCTAATGACTTGATAGCGTCTTTCACTGTGAACGATTCTGACGTAGCAAATTTCATTCTGCTCGTTAAACGACGTCAAAGATTTATTTTCGGAACAGAAGAAATCTTTCGCCTCGAAAAATTCTGTATCCATAAGGATATTCAGCATCATTAATATTAAGCATGAACTCGAAATACATTCTGAAACAAACTGCCTTCGATTCGTCGTATTCGCCTCGGCGCTCGATATTACGATTCTTTCGTCGACGTCGTTGACGCTGGCTGCGACGCCCGGCGTCTCTGGCTTCCGTCTGGAACGTCATGCGAGCTCTTATTAAAGGTGGCGATTTATCGCTAGTAATAACGGTGCGGTCTGGTGCCTGCTCGGCAGCGAATGTCTCCCGATGGTTCTTAGAGCAGCGTTTCCGAAACTGTGTCCTAAAGTGTTCAAGATGATTTAAAAAAGAAAACAAACATTAAATAATTTTACATACTTGCAGAGTACCTACGTTGATTATATTAAATAGACAGTATCATTATACTTTGTTCTTATAGCAGCATCAATTATACAATTTTTAATGTATGCATTTATTGTGTTAACATGATTTAAAGGACGATTTGAATATATGTATTTATCTATATTTGTAAAATACAGAGCTCTCTCTTAATTTTCAGAAAAATTACTAAATGTTCTTCAAATGACTCATTCCTCCCTCACACGAAAAAAATAATTCTCTAGCCCCATACTGCTCAGGGTTAAATAAATAAATTTTTCACTTAAAATCCAAGCAGTCACAACTGCATGGAAATGTTCCGAAAAATAGATCGTAAAATGCATCGTGACTCTAAAAGTTTGAGAAACGCTGTCTTTGGGGACCAGAGTGCCGCGAAGGACAGAATGTTGAAGGCGTCAAAAGTCGAGGGTTCTTTCGTAACCGTAGTTTACAGCGACGCGTCGCTATCATCTGACGTTAAGCGTACGAGCCGTGGTAGATTAACAATTCTTGACATTCTGGTTCCACGTAGTATGCGTAGACGACGCTTCAGCCATCGGAGAGCTCGTCTGTAACGAGCTTCAGGATTGATTAACCACGGCGTCGAGCGACGCGCAACCAAAGCCTAGTTCTGCGAGGTCTTGAGCAAACGACTCGACGTCTCGATCCCTGAAGGATCAGCCGAGCCTTAATTATAGCTGATTAATAGCTTCTTCGACGGATTGTTGGGTGAAAGATGAGGACACTTTGACGTGGGACTGCTGCGATGTTTCTCAGAATTTTTTTGCGACCTATACTGGCTAATTTTCGGTTTGTTCCTTCGAATAAAATGACAAGTGATCGATGAAGCTTGGTTACTAGGGCTCCAAGAGTTAGGCTGCCGTTTTGGAGTGTGTTATAATCTCCATTCGAAAGCATGTGCCTTCATTTGCTCCGGTAAGTACACAAGATAAGGTGTTACGAAGAGATATAGTCAGTCTCATAAATGTTCGTACCCAGTATGTCTATTCAAGAAGTTTGTCTAAATTAAATAGGTTCGATGTTTTGAAATGAATGTTTTATTATACATATCTACATGGATAAACTCTTCAAGGTTGAAGTTTTCCTTTAATGGTGACGAGAAACGTTCAAAATTTTCGTACAACTACGATGATATTAAAGATCCTCGTGCTTTGATAACCATTGCTTTTATTATCGTGATTAAGTCGAATATTCAGTTCTCAAGTTTTCAAGATTTCCGCGTGTTTGACGTCAATCTTAATTACAGCTCTTGATCCCTCATCAACATCTGTTCCTTCAGAAAACGATTTTGAAACCAATGGTGCGCGTTTATTAGCACTCTTCTCGTCGGGAATCAAGTTCCTGCTAACTTCTTGAAGAAAAATGACGTAAGAATCGCGTGCTCGATGCCCAGTAACAACCGTCGGGTTTGATTAACTCTAGCATTTTGCGGAAATAAAACTAGCGTGGAGAAAGCGCAGAAGTTGAATTTTAATCTGAAACTAGTTGTTAAATCGGCCGTTTAGTTCGAAAGGTCACGATGCAAATAGGACAAATTATTTCACCAAGTATATTTAAACGGTTAATCCGGATGCAAAGTGACTGTAATTATGGTTCCTCGTGTGCTCAGACTAGGAACAAAAACGAAGTGAATTATTACGTGGACAAGAAAGACATCATGAATAAAAAAAAAGAAACAAAAATAAATGGTTGTCGGAAGTGTGGAATATGAAGTATGTACATGTATGTTCTAACCTCTTTCACATTCTCGCACATTCCTCAAGTTTGTGCATGTAGCTTCGATATGAAAGAAAGATGTGGATTCATTCTACTATTTATAATGAACTGTCCAACTACATGAATCTATATAAAAATAAACTACATATAAATTTTCCTTGGCAACGGTATCTCGAAATTTCTAAAAACGATGCTGAAAGCTTTTCATCGCGGCTCGTCTTTCACAGCAGCAATTGCAGGAAGCGTGTCAAACGAGAGGGGAAGTGACTGAACGGTTCACCTTCCGTTTTTCAGCGACGGCGCGCCTATGGTCCCCCCAAAAATAGATAACGAACGTAATATTTCAGCCGCCATAAATATTCTCTGTTAACGTCGACAGTCGTGCCCTTTCGTCTCGGATTTGCTGGTTCTTTTGGTCAGGCGGTTTTCGCGGACCGCTAGCTGCCAACGCGGCGATCTAATTGGGATAAGACGGATTTTTGTTCCAGGTGGCCCTTAATTGGTCGGCCATCATTACGGGTGGTCTCGCGGTTCTAATTACTGTGGCCTCGCGGCGGACCTTTATACGTCGCGCACATGACACTCAAAAGATTTTCACGGACACCGAAACGTCCCTTGGCTGACGCGACGAATTATTTATAACGACGACGACTGCGCCGAACACTTTCACCAATTTCCATCCCTTTCAGCTCCCGTATCGTAACGTCGAGCCTAGGATCGAAGAGAAATTGATCTACTTAGTGTAAAATGTTTGATGAGGAATGTACTACCAGATAGAGCGATGTAAATAAACACAACGCTATTTGAATATCACTGTCATCGATATGAAGTCATATTCAATGAATGCAAACAGTTCGCGTCGATATCGTCTACTTCAATCAGTGAATAGTCTAGCCTGTAATCGGTAGATATAACTTTCAATGGTGGAATCTGTGCTGGTAACGATTTTGCAGTAGCGAGTACTCCAACAGAAGAATTTTAATCTTGTTAAAATTACTATCAAAGAATACTTTTGATTACATAACATAATTATAGATAACAAATATAATATAGGAATAAAGTACTCGAAAATCTATTTGAAATTTAAAAAGGAAAATTTACGTTTTCCAATCGTCTGAACAGGTTGCAATGCTCGGTTCTTTCAATTCACTGGGATCGTAAGCCATCTTGCGATGATCTAAAAGTTCGCTGCCAGTGCTCGACAAGAGCATCTGGAGCGAAAGAGACATACTACAGATTCAGAACGTTAATCCTTATAGGAGATGTGACAGCAAATCCACAAATCACGAATGCATTTCGAAGTGTCAGCTTGCGGCTCTTCGAAACAGTTTCAGGAAGCGAATGCAAACACGTACAGAAGTTCGAGGGAGTGTGTGCGTATGTGTTCTGACAATTTTAAGTTTGAAATATTACGTCAGTCTCGTTGCTATATCGCAAATTTTTCAAGAAATTGGAACACAATGTGGTATGGCTTGTGCGCGTTCTTTTTACATGGCTGCACCTAAGTATCAACAAATTAACCTACATCAACTTATACTAAGCATTTCATAAAAATACAAATTTATTACTACCGTCTGTATAAAATTTGTACCAATTGGTGAATACAATATGCATAAAATGTTTTTACCAACTTTTGTGAACGTAAATACGGTTACAATAATCATCGTCGGGCTTGTTTCTAGCATTGTTTATAAATCACAAAGATCTCTGTCTTTGTATGTGGCAGTATTCAGCCTCACTATCGTTGATGTAATTACCAAACTCACGAAGTAAATAGTAACAATGAAATGAAAGACTATATTTGCCTTTCGTCATCTTAGGTCCAAGTTTCTTCCGACAGATTGTTCCAGTTTTGTATCTCTCCTGAACCAAAGATGGCATATACGACAAAAGCTGATAGTTGGGCAGCAACGTTTATCCAAATGACGATTGTCCAACGTGCCATAGTGTGCTGTGCCATATAAAACCATAAAATTAATCGAGATAATTCATTTCATTAATAAAATTGAAACTTGTACTTATTTACAACTCATGTCACAAAATCTAATTCAGAAAATCTAGAAATGGAGATCCTTCGTGAATTCTTTTTAATAACTTAACCCTTTAGAGTGTTCAAAATGCATAATGAGTAAAATGACTATGAATGACAAAGTATATTCAAGTACCCCCTAATAAATTATCCAAATGATATAACCGATATCTGACGTGTTTCGTACGTGGCTTAAATTCGTCTAAGCCCTGATTGTTTGAAAGACAGGTGTTACGCACGATCAAAGACGATCGACTGCAATTGAACATTCAAGTTCATTGACTTACCCCGCCTTCCATGAGAGCGCCTACCAAGGCTGGCAAGATGAACGCCGAGATCGTTCCAGGCGTATTTGTGATGCCCATTAAGATCCCCGCGTAATTCGGTGCCAGATCATTCTGATTGCAGAGATGGCCGACGAAAATCGCACCGCACAACACTATACTCAATATCAATAGCACGGTGGAAGCCACGCGATCGCAGCCGACGTACGCGATTATTATGAGACAGATGCTCGGCGGAATGCAGCCTGCAAAGTAGATAAACGCGCTTCGTATCACGATAATCGATACACGGAATGTTTAAAAATAAGTGCTTAGGATTTTAAATAAAAATTACTCCCTCCAGGCAACGGTGCTCCAATTACTGTTTTTAATCCAATATTTTATGTTATACAAGTTTCAAGCAAAAAGGCTGTAATGGACGTAAATATTTATTCCTGATTTAGTCTATGCCAAGATAGATTGTGCGATAGTAAACAGAAAGCATGAATTTAAGCCATCCTTATCTGTACAAGATATTAACAAGTTTCCAAGAAGATAGAAATCTTAATACTGAACTGAATTAAGCTAATGAAGCAGGAGATAAAATGGTTACCGAAAGCAAACTAAACTCACTTATGAACACTGCAATCTTTCGAGCTACGGTTTGGCTCCAGTAATTCTTCTTCCTGCCCCAGTCCAACATTTTGCCGAGCAATGGATTCACTATTGCGTTAATTAGATATGGGGAACAGCTGATGGCGGCATTCTGCGTAGCCAAACGAAAAGGAAATTTAAGAAAAAATGACCCAGGTCATTCAAGTAAACCTAAACAATCGCCAAACAACTTACCGACTTTACGTCAAACCTGAGAATTTTGTTCATGTACAATGGCAGCTGGGTGAGCAAGAAATACCAACAGAAGTTTCCAAAGGTATTGGTGTAAACCAGAGCCCAAAATGGCACTGAAGTAAATATGTGTTTCCACGGGACCTTCATGGTCCCCGATTCGGGTGTTCTGTGGCCGTAAGACTTCACGATGAGATTCCTCTCGTTTTCGCTTATGTACTTCTGCGTTTCCGGGTTGTCAGCGAAGAAGAAGAAGAAAACCACGCACCAAATCAAAGGCAAAACGCCATGTATATAGTAGACTGCCTCCCAACCCAGGCTGCTCATTATCATTCCAGAAGTGAAGATCGACACGACGGTGCCGAGTGACGTTCCAGCATAAATGATCGCGACCCATAGACTCTTCTCTTCGTAAACGAGCCATTTGCCCACGAGCACGTTCACCACTGGAAGATTCGCAGCACTCGCGAGGCCTAGGAGGAACCTGACAATGTAGAGGGCAACTAGATCGTGGGCCGCCACTGGAACCAGCAGGGTTAAGATCGCGTTGGCCAGCACGCAGATCAGCAGAACGTTTTTGGTGTTGAAGCTGTAGGAATATTTGTCAACGTTAGATTCTGAATATAACTTATTATCATCGTTTGTATCCTGGTGGTGTTTTCTTTAGAAAGCTTAACACATTGGCTGCCAGGCTAAAACTTGTAAACATTTTTATCAAGTTGAAATTTTGTCTCGAAGGGAACGTGTGCGTTTTTTAAGGATGAAAAGAAAATCTCCTATTAGTAAACGTTCGTTCAACGGAGTATATACCGCAATACAGATCTGATTCTGGTCACTACTCACCGATCTGCAAAATATCCGGATGGAAACATCCCCACGAGGTAACCAGCGAAATATATACTGACGACCAAGCCCTGTTCGGTCGTTGACCAATCAAACGGACCATCTATATCGATGGGCGATGTGTCCTCAACGTCGAAATTGCATTCGTGCGATGCATCCCCAACATGGTCTCCCTCCTTTTTAGCCTTCACCATGCCGACGATCGTTGTCGCTATGTTCACCTTCTGACCGTAGATGATCATGTTCGCGATGCATAGCATTATCGCGAACAAGAACCTTACGATTTCCAGAGCTGTCGAAGAAACATATACGTTCATAACATAAAATACACCTCGTAAAATATTTTTGTAAGCGGTATCCTGTGCCACAATTTATTAAAAAACACAAGGAGGGTTATTATGTATACTATCGTTTTAAGATAAGGAAGAGTATCTCAAGTAATTTTTTTAAATTACGCAGCCAAGTTATGCCCTAAGTTGTCGCACACTCTTCAAGACAAATCAAAATTGTATTAATACAGTGACATCCTTCATACATAATTAAAAATATTTACTTCGTTCTGAGAACAAGTAGAACACTCGATTATTCTCAAATGCACAATCACTCGATTCCAAAAAAATTCCTCACAAATCAATGCTCACTACCACGCGTAGATTATGCCACCGATACATGGTCCCACAAGAATATCGTGTCCCATCTTCTCCGCGAAAATTACAATACAAAGTTTCACTAAGACCTCATCGAAGAGCATAAACAACGCTCCATTAAAATCCTATCGAAATTTAACCACACAACTTGACACTTCGAAGTAAATATCAATCAGTTTAATATCGCAACGGGGTAGTACGATAAAAATTGTTGGTTGCTCACCCATCGTGCGAGTTTCAACGTTAAATTCCTTCCTCGACTTGGTTGGTCGCGGCGATAACCATTACCCCGGAATCCGTGGGCAGACGTCGCCGATTCTTGTCTCCGCGCGGCGATCCGATCCCGAACTCGTTTTCATTCGCACGCACGTTCGAGCAGCTCGATGACTACTATCGAATTATCGTTAACTAGGCGGACGAGCGAACGATACCCCGGATTCCTCCTCCACGGATATCTTCGCCGGCAAGCGGAGCTGATTGCTTCTGTCGAGCCTGGAGATTGCACGCGTCGAGATACGCCGCTGTCAATTGTTTTCGTAAATGACAGCGATTTTAACGCGGACGTTGCTTATTAATCGCAACTCGCGTTACGTTCGATGTAGTTTGGAGAGAATGCGCAGACGTACTCAGGGTGAAACTGAAGAGCGAAGAGACTGAAAAGATTATTTAAATTAAATTTTGTTTAGCTTTGAGGTGGAATGAATTTAACCAGGGATGGTTTATTATTTAATTAATCGAGCTACAGGTTGAAGCTTAGACGTAGTAGACCCTCAACCCCTGAAAAAGAGAATTTATATAACTTGTATAGATTGCAATAATAAATTGAAGTACAGTAAAAGAGAAGATGAAATAGAAAAAAAATATGACGGGATTAAGCAGAAACACAGTTATAAAAACCTAGCCTTGTAGAAAGTGCCACGAGTCCAATGGTCAGTGGGTCAAATACCACTTCATCAAGTGTTTAAAATGCTGTCCAACTACTTTTAAACGATCACTTCTATTTTAAGTGCTACGTTGCGTATCTGTCAATCTTTTGTGTAATTAGTAGGGTGTAACAGATCTGATAACGTACACTCCACTGGTTCTATTGGAAAAAACACTGTAATTATCAGCTAAATCTAATCAGAAATCTAAGCAGACCAGTCGATTTATCGATAATCTCATCGAAACGAGTACTCATATGTATAACGAATAGCAATATAAATTTTATTTCACGATAGTCTTGAACAATCCTATACAGAGTGTTATTGAAACACGAGTAAATAAATCGTCCGTGGACACTTCACTAGTGAATTGATCGTCGGAACGATGATCTTTCGCCGTTGGGCACTGAATTTTCATCTCCAGTAAAACTAGAGCTCAACACGGCTTTGATGCATTTAATTGCTTCGACCTTGTTTCCTATTGCTGGTAACGCCATTCTTATCAAATGTCCGCAGCAATGTTTGAAGAAATATCGAGTTTTTATTGTGTGACGTCAACCTGTTGAATGTTTTCGCCTATATGCATTGCGCTTTCGCAGAGATTCTGACACTTGCGATTCCTAGTAGCTGATAAATCGCCATGAACTTTATATAATTCAGCACGCAGATGTTGCGCAAACGCAGTTACGTAAACATTCAACTATTCGAAATTTGATAAAAAAGAAAATGGACACGTCGAAATTGAAGCTCATTCGTATCAAGCTAATGACACAATAGGCGTTTATCTACTACTGATAAATACTTTTCAAGGTGATCGTTCCGCGAAAGGTAAGACGAAAGTCAAGTTCACAGAATTGTCTTTGAGGATATAATCAGTTTTAGCCTTGTTATGGGAGATGATAATGTTAAAAGTCAAACACAAATGTGTACACACTGGAATACATACAGGAATGTCTTTGAATCACCAGACTTGTTTGTATTTTGAATAAATATTGAAATTAGATCAAACAAATAAAACTATATACTTGACACGACTCCTCTTCTAAACAATTATTTAGATTATTTAGGTAATAATGAATGGTTCCCCTGTCAACAGGATTCTTGATTAATTTGTTTTCTGTCGACAAGAATTGTGCGCTGATTTATTGAGCAGGGTAGCAATGGAAGCGAGTAATATGTGCCATATATTCGATGCAATTTCCACTATCTAGCAAGGCTTCTATAGCTGTCGTCTTGAACAAAAGGCCATTGACACAGTGCTGATAAATTAGTGCATAGTCAAGTGACGCATAAACAATCTACCGGAGATAATGTGCGAATATCGGTTGGCGTGCAACATCACCATTATCAGCGCCTTTACGTAATTTATCGACGACACGAGATTGATGCACGTTTCCAGTATCCTCCTAAACATTGTGAATCGTTGACAGTCTCTCATATTTACTCGTTTCATTCATTACGAGCTCGACAATCGTACTACCAGTTGTAATTCGTAATAAGTCGAACCGATAGAATATAAAACTGATCGGTTTCAAATTGAAATTTGAAACTTGCTTTATCGCCGGGACTTTCTTGGGGGACATTATTCATTAATAATAGTGAGTCTGAATTATTGAGATCCCCATTCGATAATTCAATAAAAGCTTAATTAATAATGTAACCAAGCTAAGAACACTGCGACAGAATCTTCCATCATCTTCACTTTGGAAAGAAACGGTTTCGAGGCCGCCCACGATTCGGCCATGCCTGCCAGGAATTTTCACCTGGCCGAGCAGCTTATCTCGGTCGTGTTTGACAAACGTACACCTGTAACGAACAACAACAAGCTAATCGATGATCGGATAACGTCCATTCAGGTTCGACTTCTTTCACGTCGAGTAACCAAACGACAAGCGTAACGAAACGTTCCGTTGGAGCGGGAAGGATACGGGGGTGATTACGACGACAGCTTACCGAGATGGATGGCGGCGTCGAGACAACCGTCGTTGGATGTAACATCGCCCAGACTATCCTTTGCGACTGTTCGTAGCGCTTCCATTCAGTCCGAGGTGAATGTTCTGGCATTTCCACGCGTGGTGTACGCAGCCACGGAATAAACGCGAAATCCACTTCAGAAAACGCGAAGTCTCGACACGTTAAAAATGAATGTATCATCACGTCTGCGTGAGGAGGCAAGGGACGAGAGAAAGAAAGTAAAATGAAGAGGGATCAAGTAGACACCGGGGAAACAGGAAGGAAAATGTCGAGGTTGTCGGAGAACTTTCTCTGGATTAATTTAGAATGCATAGAATTTTGTTTTCAATTGTCAAAATCGTTGTCTTATAATTCATTATGGAACATTTATTTAATTAGTATTGCGTAATTCAGGTCTTTAGTGTTCAGTTATGCTAAAAGATGTATGTTACACCTGATCGTAATAACCTAATTTATCGCGTCACTTCTTCGTGTCATGATTCATAATCCAATTTGACAAAGAAGGAAAGAATTCGAATTAAAAATCTAAGGCTGACTTAGGATCACTCAGCAACACCAGATCATCGCATTAGAGCCACAAACGTGTCCAGCTGTTTGAATTTTTGTCCTCCACTTAATTCTAATATGGAAATGAGCATCCCGCGTGGTTAATTACGCGGCTAAACGGTTAGGAAGGAGTTTGAAATTTGAACAGCCAGTTTCACAATGACCACGTCCACGAGTGAATTCGTCTATTTCCATTTTCTTTTTTTGTATCGAATTACAGAGAAAAAAGAAAGGAAGGAGATCGTTGGCCATCCATCATCATTAGCATTTCATTCAACGACAGTCGTTCGACCGGAAACTGGCGTCTACTTTGAAAGCTGTGTAAACAGGGTGAACAAACTGACGTTTTATGGTCGTTCAATGGCTCCAACGTCTTCGCCACGCTGCACTATGCATGCATTTATAAACGCGTGCATGTTTGAGGTTGTATTGGAAAATAAACAAGGTGTGTTCAGGAGCTCAAATTCTTGGTCCATCGGCATAAACTCGGCTTGTTAACGAGCTCCGAAAATATTCTAATACACGAAACGTGTAAAACTTGAAACGCAGTTTATTCATGGAATAAACGATTCAGTATTCTGTACACATACATTTTTGTAGCGTTTTACATTGAGCGTGAATAACAGGAGATAATAATTACTCGATTTATTTGTTGTTTCTGAATTTCGTATCATTTACTTTCACTTATCTTTCCATAATTTTCCTACAGATCTCACGTGCTTCTCTGTTTTGCAACAACCAAGTTTTTTATTATTAATTTTAGCCGCGGTATGACAACATTGATTATGCAACCTTAACCTCAAGATAACACTAATATTGATGCAGCCATTACTTTGCCGATATCACCACGGATGTAACCATAACCTCCAGATAACACAACTATTAACATAACCATAAATTTAACTACGTGATAACACTGGATGGTGTACGCCTAACCCCCATTTTCACTGGTTAATGATAAATTTAATTCCTATGAAGAAGCCTAGTATTACTAGAAAGTCGAAAAACTGATAAATAAATAAATAAGCTTTGACCTCGGTACTTCCAGTATTAAAAAAAGAATCCAGGGATCTGTCAATCCAGGTATCTACAAATCTTTCATTTTCCTACGAAGAATTCTACTATTACTAGAAGATCCAAAAATTTGATAAACGAATAAATAAATAAGCTTTGACCTCGATAATTCCAGTATTAAAAAAAGAAATTTGTCAATCTAGGTAACTAGAAACCTTCCATTTTCGATTTGATACGATAGCACCTCGATACGATGAAGAGATTTTGCTGCTTTTCAAGCGCCTGGGTTCATCTTCGAAGTGACTCCTACCACCTCCGCAAAGACGAATCACCCATTTACGCGAGTATCAGCGACTGTACATCATCCTAACATCGTCGATCCGTATTCCACGGCAGTTCTTAGCGGAATCTCGCTTGCTCGCTCGAGGATGGGCTGCGGAGGAGTGGTGGATGCTCCCGATGACACGGTAGGTGAATTTGGACATCGGGATCACCGGGCAGAAATGAAAAATGGTGGCACGAAGAGGGAATCGCGGGTAAGTTGACGCATTGCGGTGGGGAAATATGGGTCGTTCCCGATTATGTTTGATGTGCACGGCACACTGGAAACCCGCCGGCGAGTGAGAGTGATGCGTCGTATATCTCGCGTGTAACTAATGCCCGCATATATCAGCCATTCGTCTACCTTGTATATTTTTAGCGACACGATGTGTATCGTTCCGCGGCACTTCACCTTCGCCGTTTTCCATTTAAGCGTCATCCGTGTCGCTACCACTCTGCCTGCAATCGGTTCACGAATCTTCTATCGGGAGCGTGTCTATCGCTCTCCCGCGGATTTATTGGATACGAAATGAATGGCAGTGCTCGAAGGAACGGGGAAACGTTTGTTACAGGCCATGTTTACGATGATCGATCCCCATCGACGTTTCGAAATCTCCATCCTGGTGACACCTTTCTCGTTAGATGCGCTCCCAAGGCTTACGCATTGTTCAAATCGGTGGAACTGTTTTAGAATATTTTTTTACGTTTGGTAGAAAGGATTCAGGTGAAAGGCTTTATAAAA